CTTTTTTCAATACACTTATTTTACACCACAATACGTCTGAAACGAGTTGTCATTTTAACACTAAATTGATGAAAATAGATATAACAGTGATTTTGCAATATCCTACTTATTTAGTGCAATTTAATACTCGAAGTATTCTTGCCAAAAAGGTCGAAAAGGTCACATACGCACACAGTAAGTGTCGTTTGAAATATACTTTAGCTAAAATAACAACTTGAACAAGAAGACCAACAATGGTCTTGCATAAACAGTTCCTCTAAAAAGCTAACTTTAAACTAGATTCAACCAACATTAATGCAGTCGAATTTTGTGAGTGTTTGATCGCATATTTCTACTCAAAAATACCCTTTAAAAAATCATATCTGCTCACTTGAGTTCCGTGTTCATCTTTCTTGTGATTTCCAACTTCTATTTTTAATAAAGTTTGGAGAAATCCTCATCTTTTTGGCTGAAAATCTCGCGCATGGTTCACAGAAGAACTTGGCCCCAAAACGTCAATACATTCGCTTTCTTTTCATGCCAAATTTTCGTTGTAGATGATTAAAAAACCTCTTCTTTTTTCTCTTTTAAAACTTGCTGTGAAATCCGTCTTTGCAACAATGTAGCCATTATTCATTATTTTTGAAAAACTAAGGTTTTAAACTTGAAAAACTTTGCGAGTTTTTGGCCGATTTTCTTGCATGATACATCGTTGAAAAGCTCGAATTTCGCGTTCTATTTTTGTATCCGTTGCTAAGCAACCCGATAAACACGTGCTCAAATATCATGCCCGCAAGTTGAGGTGTCATTTGAGGGCGTATGCGGGCGCATTGCCAGTTACCCACTTGCCAATCTCAGGGCGTATCCAGGCGCATTGCCACAGTTAATGAGTTAATAAACAAACACGATGCTATTACTCTTGACTATAATTCTATAAAATGACTTAAACAAACTCGCGATATCTTATATTCATCATATATACTGTCCACTATGAATCATATATCGATTCTTCGTTCTCATAACTAGCCCGCAATATATTATTGTCACGCAATATATAATATCACGCTCTTGCGTCCTAGCATATACCGTTGCGTTGTATATCACAAGTACGCAATATATTACCATAATTATACCTCAGCATCGTTATTAAACAAACACACCGCAACATATTAATTTATCATATATGCTCTTGCAAATAACTTAAACATACAGCATTACAGGCAATATATTGCTATGATATACTGTTCCTTTCTTCCTATATACAATATAAAAAATCCTTAACCTTTACAATCGAGAACCTTTACAAAAATACATGCCATCTTATACCCTTGCCATTAAACCTTCCTACAAGATCGTCATATCATTTAATTGACAATTGTTATGCGCACATTGACACAAATTCAATTGACACCGTACGCATGTTCGTGTGAATATTTCAAATTAAGGAGTATAAAAAATAAACCTTTGTCGTCGTCGTCGTCCACTTTTATATTTTTTCTGCCATTTGTTTAACCCTATACTATTTGCAAACACCAAAATCGTATTTTAATATATTTTGCTTTGGGTCTTTCTTTTTCTAAATCGTTAGAAACTCTTCCAATCGCTGCCTGCTACCCCATGATATATTCGCGCTTAATGTCGAAATAAAATACCAATATTGCGTCGTGCCACGTACGTCACTACGTCAGCATGTAAATAGGGGAACATATGAAACGTTTTGCCGGCGACGGCTATAAGGACCTTTCCTCCAAAAGTGGCATATTTTACTATATTTTGCAGCCCTATTTATATAAACAATGATTTCTTTTCAAAATAAACTTACATTACAAGAAATTATAAGCGTGCAAAATAAGGATTGCAATTTTACAATTTTAGGGCAAATTAATCTGTTCCCATACAACTTACTCTAGCTTTTTAATATCACCAGCATCTTTTCATTAGTGTCCTTCAGAGCCCACATGATGTCATCACCTTCAACAGTAGCAATGAATGGTCTTCAACAATGTCATTAATGTGACAAGTTTAAAGAGATAACGTTTTTGACAAGCGAAATTGCATTTCCCATTCCACCGCATATCTAAGATTCCAAGTTTCAAATCAAACTCGTCAAGATGAAATTACACTTTTCTATAAATCGGCTAGCGATCTGCATGAATTCCAGCGTACTACCAGAGACAGCCAAGCTAACTATAAAGTATGCCGGTTAATTCGTTCGAGTTTAATATCTAAATGTTTTATTTCACTTTGGATTAAAAAAAATACAACTAAAGGCCTAATTCCACGAGCGAAATGCGAAAAATTTCGCGCGAAAAGGTTGAACGCATGCGCAACATGATTTTGGAATGTTTCTCCGCGAAGTATTTCTCTTCGCCGGGTAGTTGAATTTGTTTCTACTCCCTTGCGAAATGGAAATAGTGAAACCAATCAAATGCTTGCATTATGGATGACAAAATAGCGAAACCAATCAAATGCTTGTGTTTTGGCGAATTTTTTCTCTACTGTGGAAATCACTACGAGAGAAAATTTGCGCACAAGTGTGTTTTCGTGTGAAATATTTCGCATTTCGCTCATCGTGGAATTAGGCCTTTAGACTGACAGTAAACTTTCAGTTTTAACTTATACCTTTTGAATGCAGCTGAATATTCTATACAGTTCATTTCCAGATTAAGTGTTTCAGCCTAGGATCTATGACCTATGTTCCACCATTCTTCACCCATTTCATTCAATTACCAACCGTGCTGGTATGTTTAATACCACAAATATTTCCCATTTTCATGAATGATCACTTCATTTCTACTGCAACCACTCATTACCAATTACAGTTATCATACATTGTTATCTAATATTTATAATCATGCAAAATTCATAATCTTATAACCTATATTCCTTTTTATAATTCCTATTCTACATATTTAAGAGTTCTCATGCCAAAGGCAAAGCCCGGCAAAGCTAGTCTTCATGCCTGTCAATTTTCAAACAAAGCGACATCAATGTCACCCATTAATGTCAACTAAATATTTCCGTTGCACTTACGTCATTGCACACAACATAGCCCTCTGTTATAGCGTCCATGCACCACCTTCTTCCACTGCACAACAGTTGTCTCAACTTTATCCGCAAATCGTCGTGGCCATATTTTTTTACAATTATGGCAAACCACCTAGACTTGTTGGACAGCGACTTACATTACAAGAAATTATAAGCGTGAAAATAAGGATTGCAATTTTACAATTTTAAAACAAAGTAAATCTGTTTCAATTTTAGCCTTTTAGGGCAAATTAATCTGTTTGTTCAGAGCCTACACAATGTCATCACCTTCAACACTAACAATGGTCTTCAACAATGTCATTAATGTGACAAGTATACCTGGGTTAATTCGTTCGAGTTTACTATCTAAATGTTTTATTTCGCCATGGATTTTAAAAAATACAGTGACGGTAAACTTTAAGTTTACAGTATATCAGTAATTTGAAACTGAAAACAGCTGCGTCAACTATATTGGCATTTACAACTCACCCAGGACTCAAACTGAGTCAAGTTTGTTTCTTGTGATATATTACTTGTTGTTTATTACTTGACTGTTTAACTCTTTATCGACAAGCGACATTTTGACGATTTTACAACTCAATTGTTTATAACGTAAATATCTCAGCGCGTATTCACCCCCCTTTAAAAGAAAGAATACCATTGAAATCCTAATAAAATAACCTTTGTAACGGGGGGTCGAATGCCGTCAAAGCATTACACAAACCGAAACAATCATATATCGTTTCCACAATAGCGTAAATAACTTGTGAATTCTTCAGAGTTCGGCTCAAATCAATGAGAGTGAAATATTCCTTGTATTCAAGTGCTTTTATATCCAAAATTTCATTTGAATACAGCCAGTAGAAATGTTTATTTTGAGTTTTTAAAAATATCGGATATTTAATAAGAATATTTAAAAATTCTTCGTTTTTCTCGCACGCGCGTGCCACACGCTAAAATTGGCGAATAAGAAGTACCCGTAGCCCGATGCACGTGCAAATCATGCTGCAGATGTAATTTGACCTTTAGAATCGATTTCCGACGTTTCCCGAGCGCTAGGATGTAAACACGCGATGTTTTGGCGAATTTAAATCGCATTTCCGGTCAAAAAATATCCCGCTGAGTTCGCTAATATCGCAACAGATTGAAATATCGAAATAAAAGACGAAGAACTGAGGCTACAAGCCTCAAAATAACACTGTAAATAGTGTTTTTGATTGTGAATCGAACAAGACTACAACGAAAAAGACATGTTCGAAGGGGCCAAAGTTGTGTCCAGCGAAAGGCATGGTTTTAGTGCTACATTGTTTACATTTTTAGAACAAATATGTAATTTGTTGAAATATGATACGTCTTGACCCTTCAAAGGTCATAAATCGCTATAATGTTTGTCTTTGACTAAAACTATCATTATGAATCAGGAAATATTATTTCGCTGAATTGAATGGTGGTATTTTCATCTACGTAGCATGTACTGAACCGAAGATATGAACCTCCAAAATACTATTGCAGTTCTGCAAAATCGCATTTCCGGTCAAAAAATATCCCGCTGACTTCACTAACATCACAACAGAATGAAATATCGAAATAAAAGACGAAAACCCGAGGCTACAAGCCTCAAAATAACACTGTAAAAATAGTGTTTTTGATTGTGAATCGAACAAGACTACAATGAAAAACACACGTTCGAAGGGGCCAAAGTTGTGTCCAGCAAAAGGCATGGTTTTAGTGCTACATTGTTTACATTTTTATAACAAATATGTAATTTGTTGAAATATGATACCTCTCGACCCTTCAAAGGTCATAAATCGCTATAATATTTGTGTTTGACTAAAACTATCACTAGAAATCAGGAGATATTATTTCGCTGAATCGAATGGTGGTATTTTCATCTACGTAGCATGTACTGAACCGAAGATATGAACCTCCAAAATACTATTGCAGATCTGCAATAGTTTTCACAGGGTCGGTCGAAAAGGAGTTTTAAAACACTACCCGGAATCAGAGCAGTTTTCCCTCAGCCAAATAACTAGAGAGGAACTTGTAGCTGTGGTAATGAATATGCCTTCAAATAAATCTCCTGGTATGGATAAAGTGACCACAAAGGTTATAAAAGATTGCCTATTTACTGTTTCCAAGCCTTTAACAGAAATAATTCATTTATCGTTCACTTCCAATATATTTCCCACGGCTTGGAAGTCGCTGATCATGAAGTAGTGCCTCATGTAAAGGACGGAGATAGTGAAGTTGCAAGTAACAATCGACCAATCTCTATATTAGTGACCAATTCTAAAATTTGTGAAAGAATAGTCTTTAACCAACTGTCAAATTATCTTGAAGAACACAATCGACTTTAATACAAGTCATCAAAGTGGCAACAAATGTAAACACTCGACTGAATCAGTTCATTTGTTGGTAACTGACCATATTCTCAATGCTATCGATAAAAAGAAAGTCACCGTTCTTGTTTTGCTTGATTTGAATAAAGCATTCGATAGTATCGACCACGATCGTCTCCTTCACAAGTTGCAGAACTGTGGAATCTCGTCAAATACACTAGAATGGTTTCGGAGCTATCTTACCGGACGAATGCAAGCAGTTCGGATTAATTGGCGCTGAAATATCGGACTTACTTCCCATAACGAAAGGAGTTCCACAAGGTAGTATATTAGGACCCTTATTGTTCAATTTATTCATCAATGATCTTCCTTGCATCCCGCTAAACAGTGAACTGGAAAGTTATGTAGATGACTCTAAACTGTTTTTATCATTTTGCACTGGAAAATTACAAGATGTAGTAACGACAGTAAACAATGACTTTTTTACGGTTGCTACTTGCTTAAGTAACAATTGCCTGCTTGCTAACCCGGATAAAACAAAGATTATGTTCTTTGGAACACAGCAGATGCTGAAACACATTCCGGCCGATACCTCATAATTTACGTTTCTCGGGAAAACTGTACAACCAGTCCAAAATGCCACAGATCTTGGCTTAATTATGGACCCAAGTCTATCTTTTGATGAACACATCAAGCAATCGGTATCATCTTGTATGAAGAAACTGCATCAAATAAATAGAATCAAGAACTTATTTAGGCAATCAACTCTGGAAATGATAATACAATCTTACAAGCTGTTTTATTGTTCCACTGTTTGGTCCTCAACGAGTCAGAAGAACATTTGTAAACTTAAGACAGTGCAAAATTTTGCTGCACGCATAACGACAGGATCTCGTAAATACGACCATATAACACTTGCTTTAAAGCAACTGAAATGGCTTCCCGTTCCGGGATTGCGTTATGACGTATAAATGTATGGCAAGTTAGCACCTGATTACCCGCTATGCCAAAAGTTTGTTACTCGTTCTGAAATCAGTAATCGCGTAACACGGCAGAGTAAACAACTACATGAACCTCTTTGTAGAACTTCTAAAGCTCAGAAGTCTTTTTTATACAGGGCTTCCACAATTTGGAATAGCCTTGACGATTCACTAAAATCTAGAATGACAGTCCAAATTAAAGTTTTAAACTTAATATAAAGAAAAACCTTCTCACGGATTTCTTAAATAAGTAATCCTCTGCAAATGTAAATTTGGATTTTTTTAGATGTCATAGCGTATTCGTAAACAAACCTTTGTAAATATAGCGATATATAGTTAGTAATATTAAGAAGTACTGTAGATTAGAGCTGAAAAGCCTCTCGAGGAGCATCTAATAAATTATGTATGTATGTGTGTATGTATGTGTGTATGTACGTATGATATGTGGCAATTTCATTCATTCCTGATGATGTCTAAAATCTAGTGGAAACGTAGAATAAAAAATTTTCAAACCTAGCATCGCCACTCAACTAAGTTTTCCGGTTTCCCTTGACAAGCTTAATCGCTCGCACGGAATGTTGTGTCAACATAAAACATTCACTTTTTCACAGAGGTCACAGAGGTATTTCTTGGACACTTGTCAAATTTTCCATAGCGCGGCCGTACACACGAACAAATTTTCCTTGTCCAAAAACTGGCACGACTATAGCCTTGGAGCAAGGCTCCATGACCTTGGCAAGAAAAATTGTCAATTTTTTTCCCAATCCGAGTTCGCGTTATCGATTTTTCACTGATCTTCATATTTGGCAGAAATGAAGCCCAGAATTGACATCTTCATGCCCAAAAATTATAGTCCATAGACTATACCGAAAATTTCATGTTTCCACATTCAGGGCGCGAGTTACGCCGTTTTGAAATTTTGTTTTTATTATAAATTTGATGAAAAATCAGATGACGTCTACTCGGATTCGACAATTGTTTTGTAATTGCATTACGTACAATACTCAGTCACACTCAATGGTTCCCGCAATTACAGACACAAACGTTGTCTACATTCAAACAGCCCCTAAACTAAACACAGACTATTAGGTCGTCCTTATACCTAGCTTGTAACCAGTCAAGGTGATCCCTATAAATTATGCCTCTTGTTTAACCAGTGTTACAACTAGAGGAAACCAGTTACCTGGTTGGAGACAACCTGCTGATGTCTGTTGCCATCAAGCTCGAAGTAATAAATGCCCTTCGCAGAGCACAAATCTGACTGCGAAATACGCGTGACCTTGCGGTATAACTGTAAGATTAGCCAGAGTTTGGCAACCGACAACGCCGTTTGCAGACAACAAAATTCCTTACATTTTTGTATTCGCGCCAAAGCACAATTTACACTAAACTTTACTTGCCTGTTGAAGTGCTTACCTTTCTTTAGAAACAACCCTAATAGTAGCCTCAATAGTCGGCAAATTCACATAAAAACACTCCACACGACTTCGAACGTTGTAACTGTCGGCGTGGCTATACAGGGTGTCCCCAAGAAAAACGCAAAACCATTGAAGTAACGTATTGAAAATTTGAATGCCCTAGCACTAAGCTGAACGCAAAGATGCGTAAAATATTGACAAGGGTGCATATATTAAATATTGACTTATTAAGAAATTAAAATATATTTGTAAAGCGCACGATTTTCCAGTGCTCTTGGGAATTTAAAAGAGCTTCTTAAACGGTTTCTTTGTGCATAAAATTTACTTACGTCAAGCTTTGATGCACGTACGTGTGGGTTCAGCAGAGTGCTGAGGCATTCAAATTCTAACAATACATTTATTTCAATAGTCTTCGGTTTTATTGGGACTGGCTCTGTACAGTATATGAGCCGTGAAAATGATATAATGAATGGAAATGCCATTTCCTGCGTTCTGAGCATCCAAATTTGCTCCAAAATTTATGCTAAGGTCATTATTTATGGAAGGGGGGGGGCAAACGAAGTTTTACCTTTATAAATAGGAAGGAGGCAAAAAAGTTTTAACACAGAGAAAGGGGGGTCATAAAAGTTTTTGAACTTAAATACCATGTCTAGAGTTCTGATTTCTATAATCACAAATAGCAAAAAAGAAGACTCTGAAAATGCTATTTCCAACGATCTAGAGACTCAAAATTTTCAAAATTTCCCTGCTCGGCGCTAACCATGGTAGCGCTTCGCGATCGTGGAAATCGGGCCCACTAAGTTTAACAAGCTTTCTACCCCCTGAGTGACCCAGTTGTGGTATTTACATAAACCTACCATGCAAATACACTTAATTATAACTGATCAGATTCGGCGGTCTATCAACGCACAATGTAATGCTGTATATCCAAAAATCTGTTTCAGAAAATGCGCACATTTCAGTTCTAGGGGTGGAAAAATACAAAAATTTTTCAGACCCCCCTTCTAGTACATACGATACCACACCAAACTTTTTGTCGCCAACAACCATCTGTCATCTTTCCACACTCAATACAGTATGGTCCCTTTTTGTAGATGTCCACCCCCTAGACAAGTTCTTAAAAAAACCCTGTGTTCAAATCATTTCGCTGTATGAAGACAGGTCATGGGTTAGGGTTATGGTAGGACAAATGTTGCATTGCAAAGTAGTAACATAATATATATTTTTTAATCATATATGGTTGAATCATATTCACCAGGGTAAAACATCATGAGCTAGATTAAACAGATTGTCCTAATATCCAACTTTACCTGCAACACACACCTGTTTCATTGCTGTTAATTTTTCAATCCACACTGGGGGGGGGGTCAGAAAAGTTTCTACTTTCATGAGGGGGGAGGCACAAAAAGTTTGCCTTCAGTTTCCCCATTCCCCTTAATTCCCCCATAAATAATGACCACTCCCTAACTGTACTTGCGTTTGAAACTGATAAAAGAGGGAAACTGAAACGCACAAAAAGTAAAATTTGGATTTTGTTAAACAAGGACTAAGGATAAAGCCTAAAACTTACTTTCCGTTTATCTATTTGTTATTCTTCGATGGTTTGTTAGTATAAATTTAGGAAAAAGGGACTTTCCTGGGGAGTGGGGCAAAATGTGATTTCGGGGGGGGGGGCAAAAGGGGGGACTGGGGGAGGCATTTGCCCCTACCCCCAGCATGTATGTTAAAAAAGTCCCTGCAACTACCTGGAAAAAAAAGGAGAATTTCGACGTTTCGAGCCCAAAGGCCCTTCGTTTAAAGTTACTGGCGACCCAAATATAAGCTCCCCCGTGTATAAGCCCACCATAATCACTAACGCTCAGGCCATATGCTTCTCCGTGTATAAGCCCATGGGCTTATCAGATAGATATGAGATGTCCATGGCTTATAAGCTTATTATTTATACTGAGTCAAGCATAACATTTTTCAATGTGACACGCCAAAAATTGTAGTACCGTCGCTTGCATCCACGTATGAACAGTCACAGATATAAGAATTAAATTCAATAAAAGTGACAGTCCAGTCTGTTCTGGTCATACGCGTGTTTTGTTTACATATTTTATTTCAAACAACAAATAATTCAATTTGAAATTTCCGATCTGTAGGCCATTAGACATTACCTCATGCACTGGTACAACACGAAAGATACAATTTTATTACCATTAATACCATTACATGAAAGCAATATAGCGCTAGGAGCCCCCTAGAATAGTGAGAAATTACAAAAATTAAATACATAATCAGTTTTTACTGTTTATTACCATTGATATTGTATATTACATATATAGAAAAAAAAACATATTAAATTAATTTCGACTATTATTTACAAAAGTGTATTGTTAATCATATCGAAAATACAATTATCTATAATTTGGAAAAAAATAGAATTACATTACTATACAAAGATATACAATAGAAATTACTAATTAAATTAATTACTAATTTCTATGCAAAGTAATATTCATATATATAAATAAGTATAGAGAAGCCTGTATTTTGCTCTACTGATTGGAATGCTTTTTAATTGTCCTAGAAAGGTTTCCTAAGTCATTTGATGTTATAATATGATTAATATCAGATCTTTTATTTGTCAAGTCATTATATTAGCTAGAACATTTCAGGGATCGTGCAAACGGGGGGGGGGGACACTACTGTAATATATGCTAATAGTTGCATGCTCAGCATGCATTATCGTCTAGCATTGCATGCAAGGTTGAAGAAATATTTGGCCCAAAATGATCAGTTTTGAAAAGTGAAACATATTACTTTTAAAAGTGTTTGGGCTTCTGCTGCATTGTCGCAGTTTTAAACATTCCTCCGTGATTACTTTATCTCACCACCAGCCCCCCAAACGAAAAATCGCTGCGCGGTCCCTGCGGTTCTTGTATTTCGAGTGTTCAGTTGCCTAAATTTCAGGCTAGTACTAGTGGTTCTTAATCCATTGGTCTATTTACAAACAGTTATTGGATGAGGTTTTTGTAATATCCAGAATTATCAAGGTCGAGGTAAGTGTTATCAGTCGAGCCGAAGGCGAGATTGATATACCGAGACTTTGATAATTTGGGATATCACAACAACCGAATTCGTGAATAACTGTTTTATTATACATTGGCCATTGCATTTTCATTAACTCTTTCGACAAACAATAATTTGTCGCAACATTTGCTTCTCAAGAGCAGCAGTGAAATATCACAATAACAGCATGAAAATATTAGAAAACTCATTTACCTACTAAACTGCTGATAAAAACGTCAAAAAAGGTATGCTTTTTGCATAAAAACTTTTTCTTGTTGTTTTTTATATTCGTGCATTTAAAATTGCTGCTTGCCAATAAAATTACATATGGCTGGCTCAACATACACGTAACTCAGTTATCTGCTAGTAACTGTGTTATGTGTAGGTTGCGAGTTCCCACATTTACCTGTAAGCTATTAACCAATCAAAACGCGTGCAAAGAACTACAATGTATAATAGTGCGGGTCATTACTGTACAAGTTTAGCATTTCAAAGTTTTCAATTTTTCACCACGTTATATTCAGGCCCGAAGGGGAATTTCGTGATATTCTCAACAGTTCCATCTTCTTTGATAACCAATATATCATGTTCTCTGTATGCGCCCGCCCCAGGCTTCCCCTCTGGCACTGTAATATGCGGCTCCATCGATATGACCATATTTGGCTGTAGCACCGTCTCAACGTGCTCACGCAGCTCCAAGCTCGCCTCGCGACCGTAATAATGGTTGAGTACTCCAAACGAGTGACCATACCCAAAAATACGATAGTTCAGAAGATCGTGCTCTCGATAGATTTCGTTCAATTCATGAGCAATGTCGCAACACCTCACTCCAGGTTTTATTAACTCCAAACCCCGACGATGAACTTTGCAGTTGATTTCCCACAATTCCATGTGCTTATCGCTGGGCACGTGGTCAAGAAAGAGCGTGCGTTCCAGTGCCACATAGTGTCTACAATAAACATAATACAAACATTATGTATTTTTTGTGAATGGATTTTCGGGTGTATTTTATGTACTTTTTAAAACACGAGCAGGACTGCTTTACCAGATATAATATCTGATATATTAAATGTCTTATATTTGATAAAGCACGGACTGCGAGTGTTTCAAATGGCTGAAAAAACGACTCATCTTATGAGTTGATTGCCGAAGTAATTTAATTAGGGACCGGTCATTATTTATGGCGGGGGGAGGTGGCACCGAAGAGAAAAGGGTTGAGTAAACAAAATTTTGAGTAAGTAAAAGGTTAGGTAAATGAAAAACAAAACAACTCAAGGGTTGGGTAATAAAAATTTATTGTCATTTCCAAAGCATGACCCACTGGAATATTGGAGACTGAAAAGCATTGTCAACAGTCATTTGTCAATACAATATGTGAATCAATCAGAGTCACTATCTTGATCATAGTTCGACAAAACAAATTGTGTTTCCATGAAGAAAGTACATGTGCAGACAACATGAAACTTTAGACTGCAGAAAATTTCACAAGCCGTTATCAAACTCATGTCACTGAAGTGATAAAGTACATGTATGACAACTGAATGGTATCCTTTTGTTAAGTTTTTGGCCAGGGGTGGGTAGTTATTTTTTAATTGATATTTCGGGTTGGATAATCAAATTTTTGTCTTTTTAATGGTTGGTCAACAAAATTTTTGACACGGAAAACATTTCTCTTCGGTGCCACCCCCCGCCATAAATAATGACCGGTCCCTTAGTAAAAATCAACGTTGTCTAAGCCAAGAAAATCAAGGCTAAAGTTTATGTAAATGAACATGATTTATGTACATTACACTTCAAGTGAACTTTGACTCTAGGTACTGTTGGCTCATGTTATCGTTGTGACAATCAATATGTAGGTTAGCCACGTTTTTTTGCGGGGTTTTTTAAATTGACGTTAAAACGTTTTATAAAGATTATTAATTTCGGTTCTCATTTATACTCAGTTCGTTTTTTTTTTAATTTTTTTTCTGGCCTATACCGACCTCTTATTTTTAAAGTGAAATCCGTAAACCAATAAATAAAAAAAATCTCGCCTAACTAATCACAGCAGCATACTACGTAATCTTCAAACTTTAATGTCTGTAATATTCAAATATATCAAAACTTTATCATGTCATCTGATGGATTCGCTCAATTGCTCCCTGCCCCACCCCTTGGCTGGTATAGGCCTACATACGTAAAATGGTTAATAGTTTAAAAAAAAAAAAGCAGTATAAAACGCTTTGCAATAGTAAATATTGTATATGTGGTGTTTCCAGAAACCAAAACTTATAATTTCAACTCACCCTTGAATTATAGGAAAACAGTTCATGCTGAGAATGTCACCTTTTCGAAGTCGACGGCTGGTCACTGCATTGTGGGCGCCGTCTGTGTTAATACCAGATTGGAACCAGACCCAAGCTAGAATTAACAATATCATTTATTAAAAGCACGATATGTAAATAACCGTAGCTGATGCGGATTGGTCGTGAAACCCTACAATGCAAACCCATGACTTTGACGACGTAAAGCGTCAACAGACTGCGCTGTGCTGTGCTTTGCTGTGCTCACTGTGCGTACCTTTAGGAACGCTATTTTTTACAGGAATTATTGCAACGGAGAGATATTGTTTTGCCCAGCTTCTGAATGTTGTACTACACTCTGGAGGGCCGCAGAGAGGGGGGCAGGGGGGGGGGGCAAATTGCCCCGGCCCCGAGGTGCTGGGGGCCCCTGAAAAATTTTTGTTCGGCCCCAGTCTTTTTTGTGTGTTAAATATTTCCGCGCAAAGGACAAGATATCTGGTTTTTTGGGCTAAGTACCGAAATTTTAAGTCCCTGGAAAGCAATTGCAACGTACTCGTCCGGAAAAATTGTTCTCCGGAAAAAAATTTTCCGGAAAAATTTTTTAGATAGGGGCCCCTAAAAAAAATTGCCCCGGGCCCCCGCCAACCGCTCGGCAGCCCTGACACTCTGTATGGGATAGGTACTTTTTCGCACCGCTACGGAAAGCTATCAGGTACAGTGTAAACGTAGCCTAAGTTGTTGACTTGATTGTGTCTTGCATCTCACCGTAACATTTATTCAGACAAAAAAAAACAAATGGATAAACAGACATCAACTTCGACTCAAAAATCAACAAACAAACAAACAAACAAACAAACAAACAAACAAACAAACAAACAAACAAACAGACAGACAGACAGACAGACAAACAGACAGACAGACAAGACAAACAAACAAACAAACAAACAAACAAACAAACAAACAAACAAACAAACAAACAAACAAACAAACAAACAAACAAACAAACAAACAAACAAACAAACAAACAAACAAACAAACAAACAACACTTACTGTCTCTAAGCTCTTGATGTGGGTATGTTCTTGCTATCTCCCTGACCATTGCATCTGTCCCTGCCAAAGCCACCTCGTGCTCCCCAACACCCTCTTTTATCACCTTCCGCACCGCTTCACCCCCTAGGTCAGCAATCCTTGCACCTTGTTTTATTAGTTCGATTTCTTCGTTAGATTTGAACATGCGCATGTGCATTGTAGATTCGCCAACGTCTTTAAAATGTGCGTTTGGAAAGGCGTCGGAAAATTTTGCGTACTCGTCAAGGGGCATGACGTCAAATTCGAGCCCGATGCGTTTGGCATTACCAAGCTATTAAAACAAAAAATAATTAACCGCTGTTATTATGTACACAACTACCGGGTAATTAAGGGACTGGTCATTAATAATCGGGGGGGGGGGGCGGTGGGTGATAAATACCGAATATTGAACATTTTTTAGAGCTGCCCCAATCTCAAGACCTTTATTTTCAAGACGCCCCACCTTCATCTAGAAAATTTAGGACCCTCCAACATTTAATTCGTTACATTTTTTGGTGTAAAAGAGGTAATGGGACAAGTACTGGTGTAAAACATTGTGTAGCCTAAATAATTAGTGGACCAGTATTCAAAATGTTGTTATTTACTCTGACTACTATGGTGAACTGCATATACGTAATAAATATGGAAACAACGATTATAGGAACTAAAAAAGGTGGAACATTTTGTGGGATACGATAAAGGCGAGAGATTGAAAATGAATAGGAAAGTATTAAAAAATTGGGGTTGCCCCATGTCACATATTTTTCAGTTTGAGGCCGCCCCCGATTCAGGCAAAAATTCCGCCCCCCTTTTCTCACCCACCGCCCGCCCTCCTATTATTAATGCCCGGCCATAAGCTATTTTACAATTTGATTGGCTCTCACAAGCAGGATACTCAATAATTAATCAAGTAGAGGTGGATAGTGCGAGGGCGTTGAGGTGAATATCTTTGCACTATTCACAGACACTGAGGTAAAGTTACATAACAATGTGTGCCTCTTGCTTCACTGCATGGAAAAAGTTATCTTTGTGCCAGTCTGTGTAGACGATGTTCTCTCCAAATGTTCGCCGCCATGGCTGACCATAATCAATACCTATTCGAATAAAATGACGATATCACGATATGTATTTGCAATTTAAGTGTAACTATAATGTTGATCAGGAAGTAGCAACTGGGGGGGGGGTGTAACATCCGCGATATTTGTTCATGAGTAATTTCACGTAAATTTCCTGGTGGTTCTTTCTCATTTTCAGGTAAATTATAACAGCATTGACTGACAAACGTAGAAGTTAAAAGAGAAATGCAATGATAGCAGGCCCGTAACTAGGATTTTAGATTTACCGAGTCGAGTCGTCGGGGCATGCTCCCCCTGAAAATGCTTGAATTTCCAAGGCTTAGAAACGCTACTTCCTGCATTCTGGGAGCAATTTTAACAAAAAATCAGTAATGATAAACACAATTACTATAATTTCATAGTCTTCCTGCATTCTGGGAGCAGTTTTATGAGAAAAAATCAATCTCACAAACAGTGACACAATGACCATAATTTCATAGTGTGTCTCACAATTGTACTACAAGTATCCAACTATAAGAATTCAAGTACTCTTGGTCTGACATGATCAGGTGCATAATAAAAAACGTGTTTGTGGTAATATTTGGGACGCTAATTCGTACTTCTACCCTTCATCAGAAATTGAATAAATTTTATTCAGGACCTGTTTTCTCTAAACTTGACACCTTCCTGTTTTGAATTTTTCACAAAAGTCTTACCGAGTCAACTGACTCGGTTGACTCATAGACATAGCTACTAGCCTAGTTACGGGCATGTGATAGTACAGCCAGTTGAATATGTAACTATGTATCAGTATTTATTTATTATAGTTCTAGTGTACCTATTTCACAAACCATGAAAATTATTGAGGCGGGGGAGGGGGGGCACTGAACCCCTCCCTCCTTGTTAACATGGCATATTTGGAAGATCATCACTGTAAATATCTTTAACCTTTAGTGAAACAATACCGTCGGTAGGTAAATAAAGTTCGTATTCTATCTAATATGACTTACATGCCGAAACGCTGGTGGCTTTCTCCGGCGTCACGATGTACGCGTAGTTTCTACCAAATTTATAGTACAGAAAATCGCTAAAATAGTAAACATTGTGATATGACGTAAACACGCATGCGTCTAGACCAGATCTTTCCATGTGCTGACGTATCATGTCATGACGACGGGACATCTCTTGTGGTGAAAATGTGGGTTGAACCTAAAAGAGTGAAAAGGGGTATTTTCGTGAGCCCAGGTGACACAAAGGGTGTTTTCGAGACTTTCGCAAAGTCCTTTTCAAAGACGTAATTTCTATTTCGCGTGATTCCTCTCATTTTATTCCTTACCAATTATTCTCTTTTAACCAATGGCCTCGTTTTCATGTCAAACACTTACTCATGTTTCCTGCTTAGTAGGGTTGAAAATTACTTTGTTATTGAACCTAAGAACAGCAAAAAACAACTACATAAAAACGAGGCCATTGAGTAAAAAAGAGAATAATCGGTAAGGTCTATAAAGCTAGGGAAAAATTATGAGACGGACTTGTGGCAAGTCTCACTGAAGTCTAGGCATTTTCATGAGCCGTGAATTACCATATTTGTCTTTGTGAAATGACGGATTTTTGTGCCGTAAAACGTGCATTAAATGCCCAGCCGTGAGCCGTGATTGCCACGTAATTTTTGTCCAGAAAACGAGAACGTAATTATGCCGGTAGAACAAAGACTCAGGGCGAGTAGTGAGAAATGCGAAGAAGAACAATGCAATGCTATGGAGTATGGACGTAACCATTTTTTTTTGGTACTCAACGAGGACACATTTTTTTATCAAATTATTTTAAATCATGATTTCCAGTCAATAAATACCTATTATACAAGGACCGCCTCCGCCCGACAAAAATACAGGGACTTGGCTGAATTTAATTTATTGGGGGAGGGGGGGGGGTTGTAAGTAAAAATTTGGCGAATCATTTCCCCTACGTATAACAAAACTGATGTTTCAATATCATTAAACTTCCCCTAAACTCTTGGCACCGGGGGGGAGGGTAAAAATTTTCCCCGGACATTAAAAAACATTTTCGGGACATACTAAATATAGTTCGTTCTTTCGCACTGTTTACAATGCACATATCGATCCTCCTCAGTTTTCCTTATTCTTTCTCTCGATTTTTAGGTTGAATTTTCACACAAATATTCTATTTTCGTTGCTTCATATCCAATTCATGTTTTGCTGCCGGACTGGGGAAACAATTTGCGGAAATAATGGTTCTTTCAAGAACCGTTACTTTACACTGCGCTCGTTTTTTCGTACCGTACCATACCGTGCCGTACCAAAAATTGAGCGTAGTGTAAACGGGGCTTTATGCCGGTTTTTACTGTATATCACGTATTCACGTAAAGATACGAAGATACTTACCACTACTTGAGAGAAAGCTTATTTTACAACGCTGTCGTCAAGCCAGTTATGATGTATGGTAGTTCTATTTGGAGTTGCTGCTCGCGAAATGATCTGCTTAGAATTTTTAAATTACAAAAAAGAGCAGCTCGGGTAATTTTAGGAACTGACACTTCCTCCAGGTCAATAGCCAATTTTAATAAACTGAACTGGATACCTTTTTATGACGAAGTTAAAATTAACAAATGCACTTTAGTTTACAAGAGCCTGCATGATCAAGCTCCACAATATATTAAGGACTTATTTAAAACAAACAATGAAATTAATGGTAGACAAACTCGTCATGGCGAATATAATTTAGTGTGTCCTAAATATAATTATGCAACTGAGGGAGGAAAATCTGTAACGGTCAGCAGCATTAAAATATGGAACAATCTCCCGAAGGATATTAAGACGAAACCTAGCTTTAATTCCTTTAAGTTTGCCCTTAAAAAATACTTCTTAGAATCTTATAAGGGCATCGATCGCTTCGAATTATTATTGTGACGTACCATCAAGTTGTACTGTATATAATTTGTATATATAAATTTATAATCCTAAGTGACCTTTTACATATTTACTCTAAGTAGCTTTTAGACGTTTTAAAGTAGAATTAATAACTTTGTATGTATTGTATATGAGGGCCACAGGTTTTTGAGCTATATTGCTGTCATGTGTTTCTACCCTCTTTAAATAAAGTTGTTCATTCATTCATTCATTCATTCATTCACTAAGGATTACCTTTTCTCCATTTTCAATTTTCATTGTTCGAGGTTGTTCAGAATCAGGTTCAGACGGCAAAGGTTTCCCGTTGCTTAAACACCTCTGGGTGACCGGATACAAGGAAGGACGCAGTCCTCGAAGGCCTGCTTGAAGAGATTTGATCACGTGAAAAGCACGCATCTATAGAATAAAGTAAAAACATTGATAAGCCGTTATATTGGCCTAAAATTATGTATAAATTTTCGTTCGAAATTCAATTTACTAGAACTGAACTCACTGCATTCAGTCCCCAGTTTACACTTGATATTGGATTCGCTTTTTACGACAACAACATATATAGGGTGTATCAAAAAATGGTAATCTAGTCCAACTTTAGTATGCCTCGCGTGCATTATAGATATTGAGTATATCGATAAAATTTTTACACAGCAACAAAATCGCTATCAAAAGACATATTTAGACAAGTTCGTCTTAGCTTTCTCACTAATTTGCTCGACGCCAGCAGGTGCTAGGTATCCTATATAATTGAAGGTAAATTATTCACTATAAACTGACGTCAATAAATCGATGTTTTCTGAAGTCCTAATATTTGTCTTCAGTAGCCATCGAGAGCGATTTAAAAATGACAGCCAAATGAGCTTACTTTATCCTTATTTTAACTATTCAAAATAAGTTGTTGGAGGCTTAAAAATTAATTTTAAACAACATTTAAAAAAGTATAACAAGAGAAATTTGAGGAAATTTCTTCTTTTATCTTGCAAAAAAATTTTGAATTGTTTGCGATCACTGAAACATGGCTAAACAGCCAAATTTCGAATGATGATCTGTGCATACCCGGTTTTCATGCTATTGTAAGGAAAGATAGACTAAATACACGGGGTGGTGGTGTTGCATTATACATTACACAGTCATTAGCATTTAAGAGACGTAACGATTTAGAAAATAACAATCTAGAATTACTTTGGGTTGAAGTAAAAGTACATAAACAAACCTTACTATGCGGAGTTTGTTATAGAGCGCCAAATAACTCTTTGCAAGATGTATCAATTTTTTTGGATTCCTTACAAAGTATTACAGATAAAATACGTCAAAACCCACACACGTTTATAATGATAATCGGTGACTTAAACGCTCACTACGATTGTAATAATTTATCAAGCACTGGTTTTGGTAATCACTTTAACCATTGGCTCCAGTGCAATGCATTGTATCAAATAATCAGAGAACCGACCCGTGTAACAGAAACTACATCTACAATATTAGATGTTGTTATTACTAATTGTCCACGATATTTTTCTGATTCGGGTACATGTAGTCCACCATCGAATTGTGATCACTCCTACATCTACACAAAAATGAAAATTCCGTACTATAAGCAAAAGTCCTTTAAACGACACATTTGGGATTTCTCCAATATCAATATAGCACAGCTTAATGAGGAACTTTCAAATCTTAATTGGGAAAATTGTGAAAGAGAAAATAACCGGATTGACGATGTTTATAAAAACTGGTTTGACTATTTTTACTCAACAGTTAAAAAGCATATTCCAAATAGAATAGTTGTAATACGTCCTAACGATAAACCATGGATGACATCCGCTGTAAGAAGTGCAATTCGTAAAAGAAATAGAATTTTAAAGCAAATTTCTAAGATAAAAACTCGTTTATTGTGGAAGAAATATAAAGATCAAAGGAATTACACGACAACTCTGATTCGAGAAACAAAAATAAAATATTATGACAAACTAAATATCCAATTATCAGATTTTCGTTTGGGCCAAAAAAAATGGTGGAGTTATGTTAAGTCAGTTTTTAATAATAATTGCCGTGTATCAATTCCAGTTATACGGGAGAGATCTCAGATTGTTTGCGATGCGCAAAAAAAAGCGGATTTATTTAATGAATATTTTGTAAGTGAAGCGAACGTTGATGACACATATCATGAACTACCAGTCCTAGATTATTATCCTAATCACACAGATAAAACGTTGTCTATAGTTCAAACAACAGAAGAAGAAGTGATTAATCTCCTCTATAAAGTTGATATTACAAAAGCTAGCGGTCATGATGGTATTGGCAATAGAATTATTAAATTATGTAGCCGTGGAATTGCCAAAACATTTACATGTTTAATTAACACAAGTCTCCGAATAGGAGAGTATCCAACTGAATGGAAAAAAGCAAATGTAACTCCTGTCTATAAAAAAGATGATCATCAATATAAAAAGAACTATCGTCCCATATCATGCACTTTTACCGTCTATATCCAAAATACCAGAAAAAATTGTATTCACTAGACTATATGAATTTTTATTAGAAATTAGATTCCTTAATGATTTTCAGTCCGGCTTTAGACCAGGAGACAGCACTGTGAACCAACTTACGTATATAGTTCATAAGATCTATGAAGCTCTAGAAATGGGTAAAGAAGTCCGTATGGTGTTTTTAGATTTTAGCAAAGCGTTTGATAAAGTATGGCATAAGGGTTTATTGTACAAATTAAAATCTCTTGGAGTAAAAGACCCACTTTTAAGCTGGTTTTGTAGTTATTTGTCTGATAGAAAACAAAGAGTTGTCATTGAGGGGCAATGCTCGAGCTGGCTGAGTGTTGAAGCTGGTGTTCCACAAGGTTCAGTGCCCGGGCCATTGCTTTTTCTAATATACATAAATGATATTTCCAACAATATTGTATCTGACTGTTTTCTCTACGCTGATGACACACCTTTACTTGAAATTGTTGATAATTTATCATCCTTTGATTCTAGACTAAACGAGGATCTCAATAGCATTAACCAATGGTGTATGGAATGGTTGATGGGATTGAATCCTACCAAGTGCGAAAGCATTACATTTTCAACGAAACATAACCGACTTCCTCAGCCAATCTTATACTTAAATGGCACTGCATTACGCGAAGTTGATTCTCATTCACATTTAGGTTTAACATTTACGACAAATTTCTCTTGGTCAAAACATATTCTAAGCATACATCAAAAAGCTAGTAAAAGAATGAACGCATTAAAAAGGGTTAAATATAAGCTTAAAAGGTCAACACTGATATGCTTATATAAAAGTCCGATTAGACCCTTAATGGAATATGCAGATGTAATATGGGATAGATGTAGTATAGAGGAAGCAAATCTTTTAGAAGCAGTTCAGTACGAATCAGCTCGCATTGTTACTGGTGCAATAAGGGGAACAAATAGAAATCGTCTATTGGAAGAACTATGTTGGGAGGATTTGAAAACCAGGAGACATATTCATAAGCTATCCTTTTTTTATAAAATTGTTACCCTCACTGCACCATCCTACCTTTGTGATCTTTTGCCTCCATATGTAAACCAAAGATCCAGTTACTTTCTAAGATCTAACGATAATTTAACTAATATACCTGTGAGAACTGAACAATTTAAAAAATCTTTCTTTCCATCGGCAATAACTACCTGGAATGATCTTGATCCAGATTTACGAAATATAGAGACGCTGTCTTCCTTTAAAGTTACCTTATGTAATATATATTGTGGACAAAAATATAACGTAAAATACAATGCATCACTAAGTAGATATAGCTCAATACTCCATACCAGGCTCAGGCTTGGTCACTGTGCGCTTAATTTTCACCTATATAGAATTAATTGTGCAAATTCCCCCTTTTGTGTATGTCGATGGGGTGAAATGGAAACTGTCAAACATTACTTTTTATATTGTTCTCGATTTGCTGCCCAACGTGAACAATTGCTCTCACTTCCTGCGCGGCTGCTCCATCCTATGTGGATGAATTTATCAGAGAATCGGAAAATTGAAATACTTTTGCATGGGTCGGAAAATCTTGGACATGAAGATAATGTAAAATTAATGCAAAATGTCCAATTATTTATTTTAAATACAAAACGGTTTCAGGCCGAGTAACTTTTTTTTTTTTTTATTGAAACTTGTTTTGTAAAACATTGGTCTGTAAAAACATTGGTGTGGTAAATTCTTCCATATAAATTTCTTATAATAATATGTTTCATGGAAAGCTTGAGAATGAATACCAAAAGTTCTTCCACACTATGATTATTCGATTTGTTTTGATGTAATCTTTTTTTGTGTAATCCTCTTTGTCTTGATGTGAGTAACCTAAAGTTTGTAAATAATCCGACATAATCTCCCTAGATGAGCTATGCTCTTGGAGAAAATGTCTGTAATAAAATATGTTTAAATAAAATTTTCCCACTGCTTTTTCATGAACACCATTTTTCAGCTTCAATTTTTCGGGAGTGAAACAATTTTTATTTATCATAAGAAATTAACACTAAAACGTAAGAAATGAAATAAAAAGCGCATTTTCCCATTGGCGTGTTATCTCTTTTATATCCGCATTTTATCCTCTCATCCGCATTTTATCCCCGCATCCGCATTTTATCCCCGCATCCGCATTTTATACTATCATCCGCATTATATCGCATTTACCCTCTCCATCTGCATCCGCCATCCGCGTTTTATCCCTACCCCATTCGATTGGCTTCATTGATTCACGGTATATGGACCAATCAGCTTTGTTTACAAACTGGCTTTTCAATATGAACTTGAACTTCAGACGTTTTGGCAAAAGTTTTGTGAAATCGACTGTAAATAAACCAGAAAAGCATTCAGACTTCATTCCAGAAAAGCATTCAGACTTCATTTCAACATCTTTTGCAGGACTTACGCCGTTGTACTAGCCTGTAGTAGGTATCGAGAAATACTTCATATGAAAAAATATAAACCGGTTTGGTCGCATTTAATTAGTATTCTATATATTCTTACGAAATATTGTACTGTAGATAGAGATATTATCGAAAATTTAGATGTTCTTTCTTTAATTTCTAGATAATAGCATACGATTGAACTATCTTTTGTATCTTTAATTAATATGGTCCAAATAATCTCATTATTATTGGAATGCTCTGTCACTCAGCTGCCGGAAGATGTCGCCTGCATCCAGCCTAATTTGCCCGCGCCAGGAGGGTTATGGCTGGCGTGGGCAAAGGCTCGATGCGGGCTGCTACGCGCTCCTGTGACGAATGACGATTCTGACAGATCTTTAATAATATTGGGAAAAAAATTTCCACGCAGCGGAAATTCTACAAACAAATATAGTAGTAAAAACTAAATTTTCTGAACGCCGTAACTCGCGCCCTGAATGTCAAAATCTCATGAAATTTGCGGTATAGACTTATCTGAGCATGAAGATTTCGGTATAGACTTATCTGAGCATGAAGATTTCAATTCTGTAGTCCATTTTTGCCAATTTTGAAGTCTGAAGATGAAATTCATAGGCACGATAGCCGACACGGCATACATGGAAAACAGGTTTAGATTCGATAATATATGCAAAGTAGATTCACATATAGTATTTCTATTATTATAATTGTGTGAATGTAGACTGTTGATTATTGAAATATTCTGATGAAATCACCGTGTTCAAATAAAGATTTACTCTACAATTTGTCCTACATTTCGACTTTGATAATAACTCACCTTGATTCTTGAATAATATTTCCCGACGCGAGAGTATACGAGGCTAAGTGTTGTGGCTACCCGCGACCGGTATCAGCGAGTTTCATTGCGTCGCCATTTGAAACCTGTCATGGAACTGGAAAAACTAGTCAAAGGAAAATTACTGGGATGATTTGATATGCAAATTGTTTTCATATGCTGCGTGGCTATATAGTGCTCTATAATTAATTTATTACGCCTCAATAATGCCAAAAATCGTGGCTACTGTTTCGTTTATAGAAGGGTTTAAAATGTCACTAAAGAGTAAAGTCTAAACTACCAATTTTTTATGTTAAACATATCAATCATAATACAAGTGTATCAAATTTCTTGTAGCTCACAGACGGCCCTAGTTAGCCTTGTAACTCAGAGCCTCAGACGGTCTATGTTCTAGAAATTCGAAGGTCGCGGGTTTGATTACCAGCTGTGGCTATAAAGTCGAATTGGCTCGTACTGGTTAAGGTTAGAATTAAAGGCCATTAAACGGCTATAGCACACTAGCAGGAGTAATTTTACGTTAAATTTAATACACACAAACTATCGAAATGTTGACAGATATGTGTAAACTTTGCAATGAATATACTGTTTACAACAATATGTGAAATTAGATACAGCCATGTTTACAGTCTCGGCACGCATGGGTTACCAACATCGCTGGCCTCAGAGTGACAAAACGTAAGCAACGGTTTTACGATTTTAACCCTATTCCAAATACCAACTCGAACCCTATACTATCCTAACCCTAACCCTAACCTAAACCTACTCCAAGTTTGTTTCTAAACCAATCTTGAAGAGAAACGTTTTGACGAAATGTCATTCCGAGATCAGCGAAATAATTTCTTCCTATATGTCTGTATACAGGAACAAACACTAAACAACATCCAAAAACGGTCGACTAGATTTTAGGCATCACCAGGATATATATAACTGAAGATATAAATGGCTATTATATAACGTCATTAGTTAAATATTATTAGTTTTTTATAAGCTGAAGCGCCTATTGCCGGCTAAATTTGTCTTAAGTGGTACACAAGAAGCGACGATTGATTAGGTCTCTCTCTAGAACGAAACCAATTCAAATGCCCCTCTTCATGTCGAATTTTGCTTTGTATTTTTCAGCTAGTTACATACAGCCTACACTGGAACAGACCACTGAAGATTATTTATTTTCATGTATTTTTATATTTATGTTAATCCATGATTGTTGGAGGTTTGATTTGAAACTGCTCCAATTAGTGTCTTATGAACTTATATAGTATATCTCACACTTCTTCACTTAGTTTTTTTTTTATTTATTTTTATTTATTTATTCATTTTGTCACACACATTAAAGATATACATTTACGTAGAGATAACCATAACAATGCTGCGACAGGAGAAGAAAACAGAAACTAAATTCCAATTGATATTCGACCCCTTAACAATTAATGGATAACGAAACGTACTAGGACAATTATGCACGAACATATCACAGATTACATACAACTTAACATATAGAATACTGTACAACGAATTTTAGTGTGTACACACGTATGATATGTGGTGATTTCATTCATTCCTGATGATGACTAAAATCTAGTCGAATCGCGGAATAAACATCGCGGAATAAATCTTGGTATTCTAAATACCTGATAAATATGGACAAAATACCTATATTAAAGCGAGTATTAAAGTATTAATTAATACGTACGGTCGAATTAAATGTTACAAAATACCTAAAACTGCCAGAAGGCTCTAAGATACCTAATACTCAAAACTAGTCATAACATTGAAGTAAATATATACAGTGTACTCGAATTAAATACCCCCGATCTTAATTATTCAAACCTTGCATGGCATCAGACATCACTCGTTGCCATGGCTATAGCTCGCCACTCAACAAGTTTACCGGTTTCCCTTGACAAGTTTTATCGCTCGCACGGAATGTTGTTATTTCAAACATTTTATCTCACAGAGGTATTTCTAATCTTGGACACTTGTCAAGTTTTCCTTGGCGGACGCACACACGAACAAATTTTCCTTGTCCAAAAGCTGGCACGACTAGCCTTGGAACAAGGCTCCTTTGACAAGGAAAATTCTCATTTTTTTGCTGTAGTCAAGGAAAACCCGTCCAGGAAACTTGCCAATCCGAGTTCGTGTTATCGATTTTTCATCTTCATATTTGGCAGAAATGGACCCCAGAATTGACATCTTCATCCCCAAAAATTATAGTCTAGGGCGCGAGTTTATAAGCCGTTCGGGAAATTTTGTTTTAACTATAAATTTGTTGGAATTTCCGCTGGAATTTTTATGGAATTTTTCACTGTAGGGAATCAGATGAAAAATTGATGACGTCAACTCGGATCGAAGAATTGGTTTGTGATTGTATGGACACAAACGTTGTCTACATTCAAACAGCCCTAAACACAGACTATTTCTTAACTGTTCTCCTATATTGACACCTAGTCTAGCTAGCTTGTGTCTTGTGACCAGTCAAGGTCATCCCTAATTATGATCTCGTGTTTAACCAGTTTTATAACTAGAGGAAACCGGTTACCTGGAGCATAGTTAATAGAGAAGACTGAGTCCTCTATTAACTATGCCTGGAGGCAACCTGCCGATGTCTGCTGCCTTATCTGATCGAATGCTCTTCGCAGAGCACAAATCTGACTGCGAAATACGCGTGACCTATAGTAACACTGTCACTGAGTAAGTTCAGCCGGAGTTTGGCAACTGACAACGGCTTTTGCAGACAACAAAAGTACATTTATACTAAACTTTACTTTTTTTTTGTAATTTTATTAAATTTGCCCAAAATAGCTAATTACATTAATTTTCGATTATAATTACATTACAGGGCTAGGAGACTACCAGAAACCTCTACAGGCTTTTATTTTAGTCCCCTACTTGCCTATATTAAAGTACTTACCTTTCTTTACAAACAACCCTAGACTAGTAGACTGTAGTAGCCGCGATAGTCGGCGAATTCAACATAAAACACCCTTACACCCCATCCGCAGGCTTGATACGACTTCAAACATTTTAATAACTGTTGGCGTGGCTATGACTATGAGCCGTGAAAATGATGTATTGAATAACGTAGCCGTAGCAGTTTGAACAACTACGGCGTACTAGAATGCTCAAGGGAATATACAACTGTAGTCGCCTTTGTCTTAGAGCAAGAATTCCATTGTTGATGATACTTGAAAACAGAATTACTCATAGTTATACATTTTTTTGTGTGTGCGAGCCAAAGCATTGACATTTGACATACTGAGCAGTTGCTATAAAACTTTGCTTTGTACCTCTTAAAACTACTTATCTTTGTTATAAACAACCCTTCATTAACACTTTAAGCAGCAGCCAATATAGTCAGTGAAATCACATATACCGCGGTAGAGATGCAACTCACTGAAAATAAAAAATATGAGGAGAATTTCGACGTTTCGAGCGAAGGCCCTTCGTCTGGAGTTACTAGCCCACCCGAATATAAGCCAACCATATATAACGCTCAGGCCATAACTGGGCATAAGAGCTCCTCCGTGTATAAGCCCCTCCGACTCCGTGTATAAGCCCATGGGCTTATACGCTTATCATTAGACAACAGGTCAGACGAGTGACGATAATTATATTACATGCAGTATTATGATGTTAACCAACTTATTTTATCATGTGTTAACTAGTGTATACTGTATGTTTGTATTTCTTTTCGTTCACGATGTAGTTTACAGGTACAATAAATATTAATACTAACTCAAAATGTCGTCCGTATAAAGCCTCCCTCCCCCGTATATATCCCTCCCTCCCCCGTATATAGCCCTCCCTCCCCCGTATATAGCCCACCCAGTTAATGAAATTTTCAACGGGCTTTTTAATGTCTTACAAACAGAACACAATCCAAAAATATTGGTAAATAAGAATTGTTCCTGATATAATTGTTAAAAATGATGTAATAATAATATCAAACTCGTTTAGTCGAAGCTAGGCCGCAACAGACTTTCACATCATGGACATGGGCCATGGGGCATGGCTGTCAACACATACATACTCGTAACCGGTTTTCAGTCTTAAACAATCAGCCAATATTTGACAGGTGAAGACTGAAGATCTCTTAAAAATAACATTTTGATTTAGTGTGCAGTTCTAAAGAGAACAGTAAATACTCAGGCATATTTTAGAACTGCAAATCGAGGTGTAAAATATAGGCCTATACTGTAGACTGCCGATAGCACAAAACGTACTACATTCCGAGTATATTTATTGTTGTGGACTTGTGGTCTATAAATAGCCAAGCAAGCAAATTGCCGAACAAACGTGTATTTTGTGTCAATTCAAGTTCTGTTGTAGACTGTACCTTCACAGCTTGAATCATAGTAAAGAATATTGCTTTTACAGCGTCGTAAACTAAAATGTCTCGATCATAAAAGCGCAATTTCTGGTTGAACATCGGCAGATTGTGGCCATTGTTTACGATATTAAGAACCCTGGTTGAGTTTCATAAGCAGTCACGGGGAACGAAAGTGCCTTAAGGCCTGATTCCACGGGAGCTTGTTCTCGGCGAAATGCGAAATATTTCGCACGAAATGAAATCGTGCATGCGCAGTAAAGATAAATTAAGGCCTGATTCCACGAGCGCTTTTTGTCAGCGAAATGCGAAATATTTCGCCTGTTTCTTTTGAATTGTGAGCAATCAAGTAGAAATAATTTATTCGAGTGGTCGCAATTCAAAAGAAACAGGCGAAATATTTCGCTGACAAAAAGCGCTCGTGGAATCAGGGCTTTAGGCTTCGCGAGAAAAAATTTCGCTTCGCCAGTGAGTAGAAGTCCGTTCTACTCACTGCGAAAGCGAAAAAAGAGTGCAAATTCAATAGAATCACTCATGTGCAGCCATCCATCATATTTCGGCATTTCGCACACACGATTTCGTGCGAAGAATTTCGCCGTCGTGGAATCAGGCCTTAATATTGCTTATAATTTAAAAGTTCACACGTACGGACTACGGAGTTACACGCGCAAACCTGTTTCGCAAGACCTCACCTCCGCCACGCCCCCCAAACACCTACCACGGGGTCACGAGATTGCGGCGAGACTTGCTTGTAACGCGGCATTCCAGATTTTGGGATGTAGCGTAATTTGTCGTTAGGGTGGGTACGTGGGGCAGAGTTATTACAGTTTTCTAAAAATAATTTGTCATTAATATTGCATTTGGCAGAAGCAGCCGTGAAACCCTGGGAACGGGCATATTGTAAACACTGGACTGGATTGTACTTTGGACTGGACTCTGGAGTACGAGGATGATTTTCGCTAATTTCCTATAAATAAATGAGGTTATGCCATAGATATCTTATACAGCTATTTCAATTAAGGTTGTCCCCCGAGCAAAGCGGAAAAGTCGAATACGAGCGCGAAAGGCTGCTGGGATTCGCTAATAAATGAATGGATTTATTAGCGATTCCAGGGACGCCGGAACTGGTGGGCAGGAGGGGCAGCCGCCCCCGTTGCCCTTTACCAGGAGGGGCAAGGGGGGCAAAGGTGCCCTTTCAATTTAAAGGATTGCCTTGGCGAAATAGCGAATTGTCAGAAATGTTACTGCAATTCTTTTACGAATTTGCTTCAGAAAACGCAAGAAATGCAGTCATCGAGCTTCAAGAGTAGCGCAATCGCCTGGCGGAGAACCCCCTCACACCCCTATCATCCAATAAATAGAAAACATGATTAGGCGAAGTTCAACTCCCGATGTTTTGCAAACATCTCTTAGTATATATCAATGCAAAAGTGCCCTTTCACGAAAATCTCCCCCCCTCTTGCCTTCACATCGTTCCGGCGTCCCTGAGCGATTTCCAGCAGCCTTTCGCGCTCGTATTCGACTTTCCCGCTTTGCTCGGGGGACAACCTTAATTGAAATAGCTGTATACAGTATACACTAGATAGCGCATCTCTTTTAGTAAAATTGAAGCCAAGAATATTCCAGCGGTTACCCCCATTTGAATAGATGGCGGCCATGTTGAAGTTTCCCACTCGCTAATAAACGCTTAAAAAACAACAATAACTTTCATCATTTGAATAGTTTGAAAATGTATTTGGAATAGGTTTAACTTAATGCTTAAGTTCCCTGTTTAAGAAATAGAAAACATACGAGTCTTCTCATTTCATGGGACTTTTTCCGCTAACTTGGCATCGAACTCTTGTGCTTTTTGGAATACCTCACTAACAGTCTCGCGCAGTCGTTCCGTTTTCTCTCTAACCGTTGCTGGTGATATCTTCTCTGTTATAATTTCGAATTTTGATCGCGGGTGCTCCTTGAAAACTAGTTCGTACGGCGAAACTCCCGTACTTGTGTGAACTGCTGTGTTGTATGCTAGTTGTACGTAAGGTAGGTGTTGAGACCATCGGTTGGGATGTTTATCTACCAATTTTGTGAGTGCTTCCCCCATCGTACGATTAATCCGTTCTACACCCGCGTTTCCTTGTGGCCTATAGGGTGGACTGAAGGTATGCTCAATGCCTTGGGTTATGCAAACTGTTCAAATGTTTCGCTTATGAAGCAAGGTCCATTGTCGGAGTGCACTTTGTTTGGTAAACCATATCTCGATATCCAACCCACGAGTGTATCCAACCCACAACTTGGCTAGTTTGTCCTCGAATTGGATGCATCTCTGCATATTTTGTACATGGATCTGTTATCACAACAATATTGTCAAATCCCTCTTTTATTCTCGGTAATGGACCCTTGAGATCTACTTGTATGAACGCAAATGCATGGTTTCTCTTCTTTTGGTCGTTGATGAATGGGTGTTTTTCTATGTCCCTGGGCAAGAGTAGCAGCACAGCGTTTGCACGTTTTTGCATAGTTCTCTACTTCTGCTTTCATCTTTGGCCACCAATAATGAGGTTCAATTCTTGCAAGCATTTTATCTGCTCCTTGGTGCCCTGTTTCGTCATGTACGGAAGCCCAGAAGTGTAATTGCTATTACCTATTTCCGTGTTGAAAAAGTGGGTTGCAAAAGCTACTTTTTTTGCTATTTCCTATTACCGTGTTTCCTATTACCTATTACCGTGTTTCCTATTGCTGTGTTCCCTATTTCCTATTACCTATTACCTATTACCGTGTTTCCTATTGCTGTGTTCCCTGGCGGGCTATTTCCTATTACCTATTACCGTGTTTCCTATTGCTGTGTTTCCTATTTCCTATTACCTATTACCTATTACCGTGTTTCCTATTGCTGTGTTCCCTGGCGGACTATTTCCTATTACCTATTACCGTGTTTCCTATTGCTGTGTTCCCTGGCGCGCGGGCCATTACCTATTACCATGTTTCCTATTGCTGTGTTTCCTATTTCCGGTATAAATTTACTATAAATATTATAGTTTATTTTTTTTCTTGCGGTCCGAAGTCATATTTTACGCTTTTCTGCAATCTGATTGGCTACGTGAGCGGTCCGTATGAACCCGTATACGGACCGCGCGAGATTTAATGCCATAGAGCCAATGTTTTTATTTTTCAAAATTTAAAGACGAGTTTAATTTTAAAACTACTTTTTAAAACATTAAAATGTCTGCAGACGATGAAAAACACAGTGAAAACGAATTTTACTATCTCACAAAAGATATTTCTCTTCCCGATAGCATTGATAGAAACGACGTTTTATTTGGGAGACCGGCTAAACGGAGAGTTATGAAGTGGAGAGTTATCTCGGAGAGTTATGATTTCGGAGAGTTATGTTCGAACCACGCCCAAACCACGCCTACTTTTCCCAACGACCACACCCAATTTCTTAACTCTCCCGATGTTTCCTTGACCTAACATGAGAGAGTTATGTTTGACGTAACTCTCTCTCGTTAACATTATGAAGATGTTAGAGAGTTATCATTTTTTATAACTCACTGCGTTCACGATTGTGGCAATGAAGAGAGTTATGTCAGTTTTTTGAAAAAAACTTCCACATTTTAGTAAATTATTCTGAATTTACTTTTTTCTCAAGTTTCAGCTTTAATATTCCACGCTAGTAGAAATTAGTAGTGCTTTAGTACTTACCAAGTGAAGCGAGTACCAGTAAATAAATTATTATACATGCTCACTTGGATTACCTACAAAGCCCAACATTCAGATACAGCTCTCGTATTAGATAGAACCAGAAAACCTTTCCAATGTAATGCCCTATATTGGCTGATATGGGAAAATATTTGCAAAACCTGAATTTCTGAAAGATCAATTTTCGCATTTTTTTCAATTTTCTTGCAACTATGCTTACCGTATTTACTGCCAAATACACGTCAAAACATGCTTCTGGGGGTACTTTGACCCTTCTGCGGCAAGCATCTCATTGTTTTGACCGAGTCAAGTTGTACTATTTCCTGTTTGGACGCACGCTATTGACACGCTACAAACTGAAATACCAAAATATAAGATGAAAATCTGAAGAAACAAATTTTGTTATTTAAAGGTTTTCTCAAAAAAACTGACATAACTCTCTTCATTGCCACAATCGTGAACGCGGAGAGTTATAAAAAATGATAACTCTCTAACATTTTCATAATGTTAACGAGAGAGAGTTACGTCAAACATAACTCTCTCATGTTACTTCAAGGAAACGTCGGGAGAGTTACGAAATTGGGTGTGGTCATTGGGGAAAGTGGGCGTGGTTTGGGCGTAGTTCGACCATAACTCTCCGAAATCATAACTCTCCGAGATAACTCTCCGGTTGGTAACTCTCCCTTTAGTCACACCCTTTATTTGGCAGCTTCATTCGCGTGCGGGAGGAGTGATTGGGGAAATCCAGAGGAGGAATTAAAAAAAAAATAAAAATATTATTTACCGGTATGGTCGGTCCGTATAGAGAAATATTTCTTTCGGTCTTAAAAACGTCCCTCGGCCTTCGGCCTCGGGCCGTTTTTAAGACCTCGAGAAATATTTCTCTATACGGACCTCCAATCCGGTAAATAACATATATATATATATCAATGACTCGATATATCAAAGTCTCTTTAGTAGTATAGGGAATGAGGGTTCTAGACCACTTTTTCGGCCCGCGATCTCACCCAGCTTCCGGTCAGCGGTTTCCATATTTTTCCCTCAAAAACGCGGGCTCATATTTTTCTAGACCATTTTTCTATTATTTTTGGTATTATTTTTTCTATTATTTTTCTATTATTTTTCAGCATTATTTTTTCAACATTATTTAACAATTTACTTTTCCTATTGAGTGATGCCCGTACGCGTAACTTGTAACACCATCTTCAAGTAGGTATCTTTTATCATCGAAACAGCTGAGTGTAATTTTCTTCAGTTCGTAAGTTCCGATTTTATGCTTGATGCTTCTGATTGTGTTCATCTTATGTCTCATCCTACCTTTGGTCTTAATCACGTTCTTAAAGTTTTCGTGAGTGAGTTTGTTTCTGATCACGTACTTTTTCACACCTTTAGCTGTCATTCCACCTCCACCACTCTCCTTCACGTAAGAGTACATCTTTGACCTTAACCCTACGAATTCTATCACTGGTACTCCTGCAGCTTCATCCTTAAACTTTCCAATTACCTTCTTATTATGAGCTGAGTAATACGGAAAATCTTTTGGATAATCTGAATTATCCCAGCAGTCTTCCTTCTCACCGATCCTCTTGAAGTCCTCATACACATCATCAGTCTTAATCTCATACATTAGACTGTCAGTGTCAGTAAAGAGGAGCTTTGACTTGTCACCGTACTCCTTCTTGATTGTGTTGTAATGGAAGTCGTACATTAGAGTCTTGGATAAGTCTAAGATACTCATTCCCACATAACACGGCTTATTCAAGGTTAGCACTTCCTTCATTCTCTTTACCACGATCAGGCTCTCATTCATAATCCTATGTGACTGGAAGCATGGAGACGCCGTAAGTTTAAGGAGATCATTTTTCGATGACACTAGTTTCACATCAACTCTCTTCCTTAAATTCTCCATAGTCTTTCCATAAATGGAATTGTTCATTAGCTTGAAGAAGTTTTTCTCGAACGCATTCTTAGCGACTGATCGTTTTTGAGTATTGAAGTCAATATATTTTTTCAGCCAAGTTGACTGCTTGAAGGAGACTGCTCTGTGAACCTTCACAAGTTTCATTCCGAGTTCCATGTAGAGTTTCAGATTCCTAACATGTAGAACGTAATTCTTCCTGGGACCTAAGGAGTTTACCAGTTTCCGCACACCTCCAATTGTCAGCTGGAATTTATCAGCAATATCCTTGGCATAGTCCGATAACATTGACACATCAATCTCCTTACTTTCTGGAGCTAGAGGATAACCATTATGTATATCATGAAGTTCTGCTGGATATTCCATGTCAACCTCAAGAACCATACCCCTTCCACTACCCCCTAAGTAGTCATCAATATTTATTTTGTCAACTTCCTCAATCCACTCAAACTCACCATTTGGAAGAGGTTGAGACATCGCCCAGCCATATAAATTGTTCGCGTCGAGGTACATAAGGAACTTGTTTTCGGCCTCTTCGTCATACGTTTCCATGTACTTATTATTCGCCGTGGAGTGTCTATGAGCAATATGACTTACCCCACCTCTCATTCCCTTCTCAAAGAATTGGAACATGTCCATATCACTTACCAATTCTATTTCCTCACCTGACTGTTTTAGGAACGCGTCCCAACTTAGACTAGGTGCTGAGATGTAATGAGCAGGGTCAAGCTTGTAATTCTCCAGGCAGGTTTTCCTGAAATTCTCAAAGACATCCGCTAGTAGAAGAACGTCAGTCTCTAGATAAAGATCGTGGTAGTCCCTCATCGTTTTCATTCCAAAGTGATCCCAAACTTTTTGAGCTCTTTCGTAATCTTCATCTTTCACTTCAGATTCATATAGAGACGAATAGAACTTGTCTTTACTTGGAAGCCCCTCAGAGTCTAGTTTACTAATGTCATCTAAGTATTCATATGGAAATATACTTTTCTGTCTCACAAGATCGAAGTCCTCACCTTGCCACCGCTGACCGACTATCTTGAAGTCTTCAGGTGAAAGGTTATCCACAAGCGCCTCCAAGGAAGAAGCCATGAACTGTATAGAATCAATAAACACAAGACTTTTTCCTAATGAGAAGGAAATGTATTTCTCCATGTTATTTGGGACAACGTTAATGTTCATCTTAAACTTACCAATCTCCTGCATTATCAGATGACTATCATAACCTCTTAGATTATGGAAGACCACTGGAAGTTTCCATGTAATTCTATATTTCAAGTTACACATATTATGAGCAGCTCCGCGGTAAAGTCCAGTTACATGATCATGGTCCCTGACTCTATCATCACCTAAGTCACAGCCGCAGATGGAGCAGTTTCTTGTCATCCAGAACTCAGCTTCTTGTTCAGGTGTGATTACCATCTTTTTCTTGAAGATTTTGTTCACCATTTCCCGGCACCTGATAGATTCCTTCAGAACTGTCTTCAGGAAGACCTCTGTAGCATCTTCACCAACGTAACTCGTATATTCACCTGAGTACTGATCATCATAGTGACACACTGTCTTCAACCCAAAACTGCAAGCTTTATGTGTTTGGTAAAGCTCTGTTGAACTCTTCTCCTCAGTGCCCTCTGATTCCACTTTCCTTTCCTCGGGAACAAGCATAGATTCAAAGTCAGCATAGATTACAAATGGAGCAGGCATTGAATTTCTATAATGACCGAACTTTATTTTTGAACCAGCATTGGGAAGCTTCGTGGCCTGAGTTCCATTTACACTAACACATGTCTCACTATGTTTCTTTAATGTTTCCTCACTAGTGCAACTATGAAGGCAATGTAAGCAGAAGTGCTTCTTATTTGAGTTACCGCTGACACTGAAGAGCATTCTATTTACATCCTTTATTAGGACATAATGATTACCACCGTTGTTGTCACCTAACAACAGCAACTCCATATGTTCATCATATTTAGTCTTAGAGTTCCTGATAGGATAAAACTGCTTTTTGCCCTTATAACCGAACACTGATATGCTTATTGAGTTCTTCCTCTCAATTTTATCAATATCGCTTATCTTTACAGGGAAGTCTATACCTTTATAATCTAGGTTCTCCGCGAACTCCCTATCTTGCTTTGTAATAGCAGTTGCCCTCCTAGCCTTTGACCTCAAATGTCTCACATGACTCCACATAAAGCATTTCTCATCCATGTTTTGCATATTAATTAAGCCGCATTTTGGATTACTGATGTCTGCGGGTAACTTCATATATGAACTACCCTTGAGAGGTTTGTACATTGCAATATTAACATAATGACTCTCAATGTTCAGAATAATCCAATTTGAACCTAAGTTTTGGAAAGTTTCAATTCTGGATAAGATAGTCAGTTGGTTCTGAGCTGAGTGCTTTCAATATCCTCAAAGTTAGTTGCAGTTCCAGTTTTTGACTTAAAGTACACTGAATCCTTCTTTGTTTTGTCATTTCCGATTTCCTTGGACATTCTCACCTTAATTGTCTCCGTATATTTTAGACCTCCCATTCTCTTCAACTCGTTAACTAGAATTCCCCTCACAACCTGCCTACTCGCTGTCATCTGGTCCAAGGGATCCATAAAGTTTGGAGTTATTGAGTAAGTCACCGCTGCACCATTTGCGGCAGTTTCTATCTTTCTATAAGAAGGCTTCTCAAGATACGTTCCGAATGGATCAATCTCATGTTCCTTTGGTGTGATCACTACAGGCTGTTCCTTAACCTCTTTCATCACCTTTACGGGCTTTCTTAACTTTGGAGGAGGCACTGGCTTTTTAGTTCTTGGCTTGGGAACAGGTCTCTCTCTAGGGAACACTGTTCTTGGCTTAGGAACTGGTCTCTCTTTAGGGAACACTGTCCTAGGCTTAGGAACTGGCCTCCATGGAGTTACACCTTTCGGTACCTCAGGAGCTTTCCTTGTTGGTCTTCTGCTTAGGTCCACCGTCACCGTGTACTTATTAGGTCCCACCTGAGTTATTACACTATCTGCAGGAATCGATAGTTTTATTTTATTCTGACTCATGAATCTTTCCGCGACTGTTTGCCTCTTAACTTTTGGTGGTCTTCCACGTTTCTTTGGAATCACAACCTCAGCCTCAGACTTAACCTTTGCTGGTCTTCCACGTTTCTTTGGAATTACTACTTTGGTGTCAACCTTAGCCTTTGGTGGTCTTCCACGTTTCTTTGGGATCACAACCTTAGCATCAGATTTAGCCTTTGGTGGTCTTCCTCTAGGACGTTTTGGATTCCTAATGTTCTCTAGCCTCTTCATTTCTGCATTGACTTGAGGATCATCAGTTCTCCATCTACCTCCCATTGTTGGTGGTAGACCTTCAACTCCCTGACTGAGTAGACTTTGATACGCCTCCTCAACCAGTAGAGCCTTTGCTTTCTGTCTTTCGGAATATTTCCACGTTGGCATAATTCCTCTCTCACCCTTCTCATTCAATGGTCGTCTTCTTGCTCGTCTAGGGTCAGTAGAACGATCTCCTTCATCTATGAACTGTCTTTCTCCTTCAAAGGGATCTTTGTCCTTATCCTTAGGTGCAACTCGATAGAATTCGTCATTCGTTATCTTCTCCACTTCATCTTCGAAATCACTAATATCGCTGTCATCAACTATCTCGCTAAGTGCCATAAGTTGTTCCACGGTCATATTGTTCATGTCAAAGTTTGTCGCCATTTTTCACTCTTTCTCTATATACTATAGGTAAAAAAAAATAGACCTATTTAAAGGCCTATTTAATTTTGTATTTAATTAATAATTTTTATTTGATAATTAATGTTTTATTTAATTTGATAATTAATATTTTATTTAATTTTATAATTAATATTTTATTTAATCCAATAATTAATATTTTTATTTATGTTTGAATTTCCAGTTATTATAATATTTACAATTTATGGGTTCCCATCCCAACTCAGGGAAAACCTTTCCATATAGTCTGTCCTCAAGGATGTTCACAATTCTTTGAGTCTTAATGTCCTCAGGTGGGTTTCTCAACATGATGTTGTTCATGCTGGCTAACCTAAGTAGGTAAAACTTATATCTAACTATGTTGCGCCCCCGTTGCAGTCTAAGTCTCTGTATACATCTTACGATGCTTCTAAACTGCTCCCGTATGGTATCCCTATCCCCTGAAGCAACATGCTCTAATAAGTGTCTCTCAAACCAGCGGACTCTATTATGACACGACTTCTTTTTCAGATAGTCGTCCTTGTTGTGGTTGTAACTAACGTAGTATGTGAAGCCATTCATAGCACTAGTTCCGCAACGTGTGCATACATCTGCTCCATCTATTATTACAATAGACTTACTACCACATTCACTACATATTGGATCATATGTATGTTTGACCCTCATTTTATTTCTCACGTATTTCATTACTGCAGCCTCTAACTCCTCAATAGTGTTTGCGTTCTTACCGACTCGTTCCATTTCATCAGGTGTTACCAGTGTCAGCCAGTCCATTCCCTATACTATATGTGTTAAAATTTTTTACCATATTATTTACAGTATTATATCATTAGGTAAGCCACCCCTCCAACCACCCCACCTATAATTAAACCAAAGATTGCCATATATTCTTCCATCTCAGAGCTAGGTTTGTAGTGATTACTTAACTGCGGCCTTCTTGGCATAGCCTTATGTGTTAACTCATTGATTCTTCTAACGAGTTCCAGTGACTTATTCGTTGAATTAATATCCTTATTTGCCTCGGCTAGTTCCGACTTTAGTTCAGCAATCCTATTTCTTCTATCAGTGACCTCTTCAAGGTACTTCTCTCTTTCAGCTGTTAGGTTCTCCATTGCAACGTTATGTCTGTGGGCTTCCTCAGCATATCCATTCTTATCGAACATCTTAAATAGGTATCCTGCTCCTGCAAATGCAAATGCGTTAAAGAGTCCTCCTGCTACTGCTGACGCCATTGTATAGTTTTACCTAGGTTTGAATGGATCATCTGGTATATACTTCTTTTCTTTCAGGTAAGAGACTAGCAGAGATGAGAGGCTAACTGAGACAGCTAGCTTTACCATTCCTTTTACATTTTCTGGGGTGCCTAATGGTTCTTTTAATAGTTTTTTCGATGCCATTGATATACCAACTGCTCCTGCTGTAAGTAACACTGCGTTGTACACTTCCGCGGTCATCTTTTATTCTTTACTCATCTTGCTATAATATATATTATGTTTAACGTATCATTCAAGTGAATCTAACTTAGACGCATCAGCTTTCCTGGTTACTTCTACAGTTTCAGGGATGTACTTAGGTTCTGGTTTCTTTGTTTCCCTCTGATGCTGGTTATATGCTAGGACAAGAGATACCAATGCGATGACCACTCCTACATATGCGATCATGTTATTGCTGGATGACTCCTCAGGTTCTGCAAGTTTCTTTTTCCTCTCCTTTGCTATTTTACTGATTGCGGCTAATCGTTTTCCTGCAGCTACTCTTTTTGGGTCTTTCTTCTTTTCACTTGTTACTGCTTGAGTTTGCTCAGGTTTATCTTCCATTCTACTTGTAAGATACCTTAGGTTTAACTGGGTTTTATCTTGTGAGACATCTAGAGTCTACTTGTGAGATAACTCAAATTTACTTGTAAGATGTCTCAAATCTACTGGTGAGATAACTTAAATCTACTGGTGAGATAACTGGTGGGATAACTTAAATCTGCTGGTGAGGTATCTCAAATCTACTGGTGAGATGACCTGACTAGTACTTACCTGAACTGAACCTAGGTCTGTACAACCTTACAGCGCACTATGTGTTGTTCGCTGTGACCTTCTTTGCGACCTTCTTAAGTGAAAAGTATTCGTTGATTCTAATGCAAGTTTTTACAAGGTCATCTGACACCGTCACCATGTAACCTATCTTCATAAGTTTGTGGAACCATAACACTTGCTTTTCACTTGCGACTCCGGTGCCTTTGGGAGACTTGAATTCAATTGCAAATCCTTTATACTTCCCCATAGGATTCTCTATAATAATATCTGGCTGACCACCTTTGTATCCCTTCTTCCAGGCATCACATCTCTTAGATGATGTGTCCTGATACTCACCTAGACCGGGTATTACCACAGCCTCTGGGTAGTTATCCCTGATGTAACTCACGACTGTGTGGTGTAGGTCCGTTTCATTTAATAGGATCATTTGGTTGTATCTAAGTGACCTTCTATCTGGTAAACTGTATGTGCCAGTTTTTCGTATAGATGGTAGGACATCAGTAAATACCCACCTCCTGAACTCCTTTGCTGTATTAAGTTCTGATCCAAAAATTAACTGGTACAAGCCCTGTTCTGTAATTAGGATGGTGCTAGGATGACCCTTCAAAAGGGTGTCCTCGAGGACACCCTTTCGGATGGACCCTAGAGTGCACTTATCCTCTTCCCAAACATGGTTTCTAACTGCTTTCTTCGTGTCAAGGTACCCAAGAGATTCCGCCACATCTTTTGCGTAAAACAGGATCTCATCACCTTTCTTAGTGATTCTCACACTAACGTTAAGGTCTCGGTTCCTGAAGAGTTTTTCCATCTTTCTCTATATTATATATGTAAAAATTTTTGGACCTATTTTATTAAGTATTTAATTTCAATTTGTTGATAGGCATTCCCTCTTCCCACCCAACCTATCACCAAGTGTGTCCTATGGTAAATAAAATACTACGACTCATGGAGTTCCTTGTATATCTTTACAACTGTTTTGATAGTGTCATCTTTGAAGGTATAGAAGTCGTACTGGAGTGGCCCAACAACCTTTTCCTTGAACGCGTGTATGTCCTTCTCCAATGCATTAAGGGTATCCTGTATCTTCTTAAGTCCCTTTTCGCTAGCCTCAGCTCTCTCAATCAGTCCATTAATTATGTCTTCAAATTCAGTTCCTTCCCAAGCGTTATCCCATTCGTATCCTGACATTCTTCTGTATTTAATAAGATATGTTTGGCTTCCTCAGATATTTCCTCAGGTTCCTCCTTCTTGTTCCACTTATGCGCAACAACATGCTTGGCTGTTGTACAACCACCTGATATTAAACCTATGAATGGAATGTTTGGGGATATCATTCTTGTTAAATAACATACGTCATCCTTTAGAAGTTTATCGCTAAGTAGTTCCTCTGACAGTTTCTCTGAAGATGCTACTGCACCGAAACTCCCCAGTATAGAAGCAAACTTTGAAATTATAAGTGTTGATAGGAAGTCACTTGCGCATGACATCCTCTGACTTTCATACGCATGGTATAGTCTATCCACAACATCCTTGTTGGACTTTCTTATAAAACTTGCGGACTTCTCTATTACACCATCCCTAGATAGCTCTATAAGCTTGTCTCTTTTGCTTTCAGTTTGCGACTTATCTGCGGCTGATTTAGTTTTTCTTGCGGTAGACTTAGCTTTCTTTTGCGGTGTCTTTGCGGCCTCTTCTACTTCCCTCACAGCTGCAGATATTTCTTCATCAGATTCGGGTCCCATCTTTTATATCCTACGTTATGTTTTGTTTGATAGTGTATGTGTAAGGGTGAATAAGTAGTATATCTAGTGCGGTGAACTTCTTATCTTTTAATATTTTCGTAATCTCTGTAATTGTCTCTTGAGGAACACCACTTAGGTAATCATCTGTTATCACCTTCATATCCCTACGACTAGGGTTGTAGAATGTAACTAGCCTGGAAATGTTCTCCCTGAATGGTTTTGCAATTGATGATAATTGTTGGGTAATTACAATGACTGATAGGTTGTAATGTCTTGCGGAGAATGCTAGGCGCACCAGTTCTGAGACTCTTTTCTTTACATCCTGACCTGCAGCACAGTCATCAATGATGATTAGCGTTTGAGTTCCACGAAATATGGTGGACACTGCCTTCAGAACTAGATTGATCATTTCTTGTGAACATGGAATTTGTATGACTCCATGATCACTAATATGAGCCCAATTAATGTAAGTCATATTCCATTCTATTGTTGGACATATAATCACAATATAATCGAAAACTTTATTGTATTCTATTTCTAGCATGTTAAGTAAGAACTGAGTTTTACCACTTCCTGTCATTCTACTATGAGCATGTTGAATGGTGGTTCAAGTTGCATCTCTATGCTTTACCGTTGGTGCAAGCTAATATTGAATACTTGATAGATCTCTATTTGCAAAGTTAAGGAGGGCATCCGATACAACAAAAATGTTGCACTGAACGTCAGCTGTTGTGGCTTGCTTCTTGATTTCCATAAGTACTCCAGACTGCGTGTTGACAATCTTCCTTCCTCCTCCAGTGGTATCATCCTGAGTCGTTCTAAGATCGATTACTAGAGCAAAACCACTACTGAAGAACCTGCTGATAGACATAAATTCATCTGCCATAGATTTCTCACACATGGGGCAGAAGAATCGTTTTGCCTCTTCGAAGAACCTATTTTTATGAAGTCCTTGGGAGAAGACTGCATTAGGCACCCCTTCAATGGTTAGGTTCACTTTATCAATGTTTGGGTAAATATATTCTTCAGAACTGTTCTCACTTTATTGGTAAATAGAAGGACAATTGCTGACATGCTCTTTCTGGGGATATTTATGTTTTCATTGATAATGGTAAGATCTTTGCCCCAATTACTTGTGCGCATAAGTGTGACATGTTTGTAAGACAGTGAGCGGCCTGTTGAATACATCCTTGATACTTCACCTGCAAGGGCGTCATTTTCAATGGTCTCATATTCTAACTCAAGATTGTCCAGTTTATAATTACCCTTAGCTTCACCTCCTTGGGCAGTCATAATTTCATCTGATTGCGGGAGTGTGAGGATGTACATAGGATTGTTATTCATGGAGAACGGTGTGTAGAGTCCATGATCTGCAATTATTTTATCAATTGGTTTTCTCAGCTTAGATCCATACACACTGTGGAGAAGTGCATCTGCTACTTTATTGGCATCACCTACCTTTGCTCCTGAGTCATCACCTGATATTAACTTCCTGAGATTTTCACTTGCAAGACCCTGTTCCGTCATCTTTTTCCTATCACCTAGCGTTAGCCATAGATCTTTGTATACTTCGTACAAACTCTCTCCTGAACAGTCATAAGCTGTTTCACCGGCTACTTTAATCTGAAGACGTTTAGCTATCAACTTAGACAGGTTATTATTAAAGTGGCTTTTTGTATTGGAATTCTTGAAGTCAAATAATAGTGCCAGTGATCCTGGAACTAAACAAGAGTCGGGTTTTAGCTTAGGGATGTTAATGTACAGCTCTTCACCCGGGCTGATAGTTGTTGGATTAAATGTTACGACACTTCTAGTTCTTGGTCCTTTTACAGATGTCATGCGGCTCCTCCTGAAGCCAGGCTGGAGTTCTCTTTCTGTGGTATTCATACTTTATACAATATGTAATGTTTAGTTGTATATGTACAGTAAAACTACTGCTGCACAAACAATGATTATCCATATATTATCCGCTGCTAACTCTACTCCATCGGCTATCTTCTGAAATACAGGTGGTAGTTCTATTTGAT